ATGGCTAGGGAGTGCTTTTAAACAATGAGACACTAGTTATGCATAAATGAGGCTAAGCATTTCAAGGTAGACTAGGTAATCATTACAGCTAAAGGCATGACGTAACTTGCAAAAGTTATTCTGATTTACTTAAGGGGATCTTCCTCTTTTATTTATTATCTTATGACTATATTTATTTCAGAAGATAGGGACACTATATAAAACAGGTCCATCCTAAGGAGCACAATAGGTGATGCATTATTTTCAAAATCTTTGAAAACAGAGGTGAAAATACTCATGTAATAATTTTTCAACACGTATCAAACGAATATTGTCCTAAATTTCACTTAGACATTACAAACTGTGAGAAACTGAAATTCCATGGCTTGTGGGCTATGAATCTTCAAATTATCTTTTTATCTGAGATTGTTATTTCTTAACCAGAAGCTCCCCTTAGCCTAAATGGTAAATAAATATTACAAAAAAATAGGAAATGTTTATTTCAGTTTTGATTATTATTATCCAGTATTCCTTTACAGCATCTATGAAAGGCAGTGAAAAAGAAAATAATGAAAAGCACTGCTATTTAAAGATACAATATATTTAAGAAAAATTTCTTGCTCATATAAATCTTGCAGATATGCACAGAAGGAAAATATATAAAAATTTACAATCCTCATTATATACTCCTATATATGTAGATGATCCACAACATTAGTGTTCACATCAAAACAATTAATAATACAAAACAATCAAAGGGTCTAATCTCTCAGATTAAAGCCATTCAAACAACCTTGTGTTTGTACTTCTTCATTAATTTGGCACTGCTTTGCTATAGAGGCAATGGAAGTCATCTTGCCACCACACCTCATAACGTAAACAGTATTTACTTTTACTCTTTTCATACATCAAAAGAACCGTGAACACAAATTCACCCCAAATGCATCTTCTCTACTGTTCCACTTCGCTTCCGCACTCCCTTGTTCATGGTGGTTCGTAGTACCCTTCTTCATTAACTTTCAAGATACAAAAAATAGCTGCAAAGCAGAACTATGCGGCAGGGGAGTACATCATATTCATCACAGTTTACACCACAACAAAAACAACATCAATATATACAAAGATCACAGCTGTGGTGACAACCAGCATTCAAGATAAAAGTATCTTTGGTAATAAAAATTCTCATAATCACTATGAAGATGCATGTGGAATGAAGTAAAATGTAGTGAATTGTTCCATTATTGTTTTTCTTAAGTTTCCAAGAAGAAAACCCAGTAGAAAAAAAAAAAAAAAAATCAATCAATGTGAGGTAAATTGATTCCCTCTTACAAATGTGAGCTCTTTATGTAATGCGTTTACGGTAAAGCATCATTAGTGATCCAGTCTAACATATCATATATTCAGATCTAGATCAGCCAAGTTAGCTATTGCATGTAGCTTATCTTTTTTTTTTTAAATCTTACCATTAGTAATATCTTGGGGGGAAAGTTGGCAATAAATATGGAAATATGCATAAATGACAATAATGCACATTAACTACATTCACATGGAATATCAAACATATCCCTTTTACATGTTACAGATCTATATTTGAGGCAGCTGGTATGAAATGCACTTTAACTATCATTAGGGCTGACTTGATGAAAAAAAAGAAAAAAAGAAAGAAAGAAAGAAAGAAAAATAAAGTAAGTTGTATTATCTTACATTTTTCTGTATTGAAATGAATGCATAAACACACATATTTACAATCGTGTGTGTGTGTGTGTGTGTGTGTGTGTGTGTGTGTGTGTGTGTGTGTGTGTGTGTGTGTGTTTGTGTGTGTGTGTGTGTGTGTGTGTGTGTGTGTGTGTGTGTGTGTGTGTGTGTGTGTGTGTGTGTGTGTGTGTGTGTGTGTGTGTGTGAGTGTGTGTGTGTGAGTGTGTGTGCGTGTGTGCGTGTGTCCGTGTGTGTGTGTGTCCGTGTGTGTGTGTGTCCGTGTGTGTGTGTGTCCGTGTGTGTGTGTCCGTGTGTGTGTGTGTCCATGTGTGTGTGTGTCCGTGCGTGTGTGTGTCCGTGTGTGCGTGTGTCCGTGTGTGTGTGTGTCCATGTGTGTGTGTGTGTGTCCGTGTGTGTGTCCGTGTGTGTGTTGTGTGTGTGTCTGCATGTGTGTGTTGTGTGTGTGTCTGCATGTGTGTGTTGTGTGTGTGTCTGCATGTGTGTGTTGTGTGTGTGTCTGCATGCATGTGTGTTGTGTGTGTCTGCATGTGTGTTGTGTGTGTCTGCATGTGTGTGTGTCTGCATGTGTGTGTTGTGTGTGTGTCTGCATGTGTGTGTTGTGTGTGTGTGTCTGCATGTGTGTCTGCATGTGTGTGTGTGTCTGCATGTGTGTCTGCATGTGTGTGTTGTGTCTGCGTGTGTGTGTTGTGTGTGCGTGTGTGTCTGCATGTGTGTGTTGTGTGTGCGTGTGTGTATGTTGTGTGTGCGTGTGTGTGTGTTGTGTGTGCGTGTGCGTGTGTTGTGTGTGCGTGTGTGTGTTGTGTGTGCGTGTGTGTTTATGTTAATATGTGTGTGTGTGTGTGTGTGTGTGTGTGTGTGTGTGTGTGTGTGTGTGTGTGTGTGTGTGTGTGTGTGTGTGTGTGTGTGTGTGTGTGTGTGTGTGAGAGAGTGAATATGTGTGAGAGTGAATATGTGTGTGTGAGTGAATATGTGTATGTGAGTGAATATATGTATGTGAGTGAATACATACATATATATATATATATATATATATATATATATATATATATATATATATATATATATATATATATATATATATATATATATTTGTGTGTGTGTGTGTGTGTGTCTAATGATGATTATTATGGTAATGATAACAGGTAATCCATTCCCCATTCAATAACTAAACTTGAAACAACTTAACAATACAGATTCTCTATGTGCAATATCATTCATTCTTAACTAATATGATGAGATTCCCTTAAAAAAATTCTAACAAATAAAATTAGAATTTCTAATGTATTCATAAATCAACAAGTTAAATCTGAAATCAGGCTTTCCAATTACATCAATATTACACTGTAAAAAATCTATCCACATTAACAAATATAGTAGTAACTAAACAAAATCTCAAAGAACAGTTTACAAAGAAAAATGGTCTAACTATAAAGATATTGAACTACAAAACTACACATGTTCGTATGCACCCACCCACGCACGCACGCATGCACACACATGCACGCACGCACACAGAAAGAGTATTAAACAGACACAAAGAAAAGAATGGAAGTTAACCCTCATCAACGGCTAATAACTTCAAAAGACCTTGCTCACATTTAGAAAAGTTTTCAAAATCAGTAGACTGGGTGTTCCTAATGGCAATAAGATACAGAACTGGATGCATCTGCCAGTATTTGATGCCTTACATTATGTATCCTCATTTCAGAATGAACAGGAAAACAACAAAGAACAAACACTGTCAAACCCAAACTGGTAACTTACAGTGTTTGATAGAATATACTTAATTTTAATCACCGGTCCGCTGCTAGCACGTGAAGCATGAAGGTGATTTCCTGTGTAAAAACAGTCAAACATAAACATTAACTGAAGGAGGGTTAACAACATCCATATGTATGTAAATACACATATTTATACAACACTTTCTTCAAGAAACATATAACAAATACAAATATGATTTGGGCAAGCCAAAAGCTTGCTACTTAATATCAATATAACTCCTGTAGATCTGATTTACATGATTTTAAGATTTAAAACATAACTAACATTTCTGGATATTTAATTAAGAAAAGGGAATAGAAGGTCGTTTACAACCTGGAGTTTAGGAATGTTCATATTTTACGATGCACATATAACAAAAGATTCACCAAAATAAAAATATAAAGTAGATTTTTTGAGTGCATATTGGTATGAAAAAATAAGTATATATAATCAATTCTAAAACAGTATGTACAGAAAGCCTTTGCTGATAGCATTTAACTTACCAGGTTTTGATTCTACACATTTTTTACTTTATAATTAAAATTCTACATCATACATTTGTTTTCCTTAAAATCTGGCAAAAGATAAAAGTCCTATGTCCTATCTTGTATAGTCAACATGCAAGTCAGAATCATGAAAGGTGCTGGGTTAAAAAATGAGCCAATCCTACCTTATTTTCAGCAATAATGACTATGTTCCCTGATAAGACCTGCATACCTGCAGGGCTGTCCTAAAAGATATAGCAACCTTGCAAAAAAGGACATTCCTATACAGCTTCTGTTAACTATGATAACTTAATGAATTTTTATAATAGATAATATCATTTTCAGTTCACTGAGCCAAAGCTTTACAAAACTAGAGAAAACTTCCATAACCATGAATCATTACTATAGAAATGTACATAACTACCCTCCCTGATGAAATTCAAACAAGCTGAATTTGGGTATCGCCCAGAAAGACCAGAGCAATATTAAATCAGCTTAACCAGTCAGGATTTTCTAAGGGAAGATAGCTATATGTCAATGTCAGTACAGTATTGCATTACTCCATATCATTATATATGTTTCAAAAGGAAAACCACAACAAAAAGCAAGGACTTGCTGTACATAACAATAACAGACTCTGCTTATGTGAGAGACTGGACAATGAAAGCAATAATGAAAGGTCCTGTTGGTAGCCTAGAAACAAATTAAAGTTAGTACAATATTTTCTTCTTGGGTTTGTTAGTGTCTACCAAAGCAAGGCTGGAATGCCTACCTTCACTGTTTGTTAACATGACAAACTCTAAAGTGAATCTTCTTTTTCTGTAATGTAAACATTTAAAGTAACATTGGCAGATTCTATATGTCAAGTAATTTTAATTTATGTATATATGTAGATGCCAGTTCATATATAACTATAAGCAGAAAATTACACACATGCACATATGTGCATGTATTTACTTCCATACATGTGTATCTGTTTATGTGTCTCTTACCTGTGTCTATGTGCATTTCTTTGTAAGCATTTTTCTAATGAATGTGTCTATTTGAGAAAGAGAGGGAGGGAGGGAGGGAGGGGCAACCACATTATCTGACCATTAACCATGCAAATCTGCATCCTTTTCCATTATCTTGCATTTAACCCCGACATACAGACATTTCAAACTGCAAATAAACCAGATGTAAATAACACAGTAGACCTGCATTTGTAACAGTAATATATAGGCTTATTATCATTAATTGGTAACAAATCATGATGAAGAGCAGTCCAATACTATCTCACACTTGCCCAACATACCTGTTTTCTTGGTAAGACAGCTTTCATTCACTGCAAGTCATATTGAAAGATGACTTGTGTGAACTGCATGGCCCATTTCAGGTACCTTGATTTTCTGGCAACAATTATACAATCTCTTTCTAAGCCACTTATAGATGTACTGCTTTTTCACGGTCTGTTGTGGGTGGATAGCTTAATTTTTCTATGAACTACACATATGAAAGGGCTCACTGATGCTAGCGGTTATACTGAAAGCACATCATACTGCCCTTGGAAACAAAAAACTCTGAAACAGGCCATTAAGTCCTATATACTTTTCATGTTGCTGACAATAAAACAAAGTGTTCTGTTCAAAAGAGAGCTGCAGGTATGTGATCACATGCCTATTTTCAATGTGTATAAAGTTATTAATTGATGCCAGCAATTATTTTCAGTAGAGGTTTTTAGTACCTAAGTTACTCTTTCTCATTACAGTATTAGACTGAAATAATATTCCTTCTTATTTACCATGTGAAAGGTGTTAAGGGATACATAATGATTTATCTTTCATTTGTTTAATTTTCACCACTGAAGAGAGTTATCTGGAACCCAACCTCCTTAACTCTTTCACAGTTTAATGGGAAAAATAATCTGACACTCTTATCAGACGGTTTTCTATGGAATGCATCCTAGTCAGGTAATAGGGGTTACCTGTAATTGTATATGCATATATACATGTAAAGAGACATGTGTATAAATATATATTAAATCATAACCCAATCAATAATTCTTCCAAGATACAATCTTACTTGATGAACATACTCTCTGGAAACAGTGAGTGGGTATGGTGGGTGAGTTTGAGGGTGGATGGTTGGGTTTATGTATGTATGTATGTATGTATGTATGTATGTATGTATGTATGTATGTATGTATGTATGTAGGTGTGTGTGTGTGTGTGTGTGTGTGTGTGTGTGTGTGTGTGTGTGTGTGTGTGTGTGTGTGTGTGTGTGTGTGTGTGTGTGTGTGTGTGTGTGTGTGTGTGTGTGTGTGTGCATGTGTGCGTGTGTGCGTGTGTGTGTGCACGCGCGCATGCGTGCACACATGACTTATGTATAGCGAGAATGTAAGTGGTTCCTGCCAAAGCAAAGCATCTCATCCTGCCTAGGATACACTAGGAATCAGCCTGATCTTCATTCTGGCCTTGACAATGGTCTTTTCTTTGAAGTAAACTGGCTACTGCTCTCTACTTCCTGCCTGACGACAACATATGCCAAAACAAGGACCTCTTTACTCCCAATGCATGCACTCAAGTTTCAAACCCTTTGATTACATCCTCACTGGGGATCCTCTTAGCCTATCCATGAGCTATGACCCATTTTCCGTAGATGCTGTGACACTAACAACAATGAGCCCCCTGGGGACAATCAAGCCAAAATAATTATGTATATGTACATATGTACATTCGTTACTTCAATAAGTGCTCCTATAATTCACGGTCCTATTATCACATTTCTGTATTTAGCAGATAAAACTGTTCTGTTATAGACACCTCTTTCACATCATGAGGGGAAAACATCACTGAGATTATCCTGTGACACTGATGACGGTGTGAGTGGTGGCTGGGAGGACTCCATGCTGGATCTGTTGCTGCCTTGTGATCCTAAGGTTACACTCGTCACATCTTTAATGATCATCTCAGCCACTTTGTAAGCCATGTCTTCTTTTACCTGAAAATATTTCAAAGTTTTTTATTTAGTAGCAACAGCAGTGCCAGCAGCAGCCTACTTCAGTATTCATAATTATAGTATTAATGTAACTTATGTTTTTGGTTATGTAAATAAACTTTATTTCCTCTCTGATTAGTATTGCCATCATATTACCAACACCATATCAACATTATACTCTCCGCTACAAGTGCACCAGATTCCAGCATCTATGGTTCTAGGACATTGCCAAATTATCAATTCAAAAATATGTTTCCCACAGCATCTGCACCATTTCGATGCACCTAATATGGACTAGTGTTTATTTCTTTATTAATCCATTGGATAAATGTACCTTATGGCACAGGGGTAAGCCAAAATCTGGGTATTCAGCTTCTTTGAGTGGTGCCTACTAGTTTTTGATGTATTATCATTTTCCAAGGTCTATTGTTATGGTGTATCAATATGATAATTGACCGTTTTTGTTGAAAAAGCTTCATATTATCTCTCCAGGTAAATTACACTCTGTGCAATAACAGTAACAATAAATAACATTGTGTTATTAATGTAAATTTACATTTTTGTGTTATTCATCCTACACCGCTACAGGAACTGGTTCTTGCACGTAGACACAGTGTCCTCCCTGAAGACAGCTGTCCCAGCATGACTGACAGATGGGAAATTTCTCAATCTTGGACTGGTGTGAATCCTGCACAAGTTCATGAACGAGTCCCTTCCTGAAGGCTAAAGTGCTTTGTGCATCATCTGACACACAGCAAAAATTTCCCATCGCCCACTCCTTGACCAAATTTTTTCGTGACAAGAAGTTCTAGTCACCAGGCTCCAATGGGTTAAGATGAAAAGAGAAAAAGAAAAACATAGCAATAACTTACCTTATCCTCATCCATGTTAACAAATCTTTTAAGAGTCCGAGAAATTTTTGACTCTGTCTTGCGATCAGGCTCTGGCTGCAGTTCTGATTCAAATCTTCCAAGCTCATTAATGAATCCACAGCTCATTTTACTGTTAAGGAAATATAAGTATCTGTATTGCAAATGTATAAAAAATATATACATAGTTAGGACACATTCAATTCTTCATTAATGAGTCAAAAATCATTTACCTCATTTCATCAAAGATCCGGTATAAAACAATATACTTCCACTGATTTTAGTGCAATTTTAGCGCAATAAGCCATACCTGAAATTCTTTCGCCTCCATAGTGAATCTGGATCCGTAATCTGAGCCTCATCAATTCTCATGGCACCATCCAAATTGTGAAAACGGTGTGTGGATGAAGTATCCATCGCCAGCAGTGTATTTTGCGAACTGATTCCTGCTCCCCCATAGGTACTGCTCTGCTCACTGCTACATGTGCTCTCAGAGCCTGTGAAGGAAGATAGTGGATCCACACTGTATTTCCAAGGTAATTAAATTTAAAGAAATCAACAGGTAGCAAAAATGTTTTGCTAAAGTGAATAAATAAGAGTCACAATAAGATAAAATAGTCATAATAAAAGAGTAAGCAACATATTTTGGAAAAATACACAGCATCTGGTAAACCAAAATTTCACTTTTCCATGATAAAATCATAAAAAAATTACCCTACATCCAATGTGTGGGGATCACCAATGAAAAGCTAAGCATCAACAGTGTAAAGCTTATAGCTACTAATTAGAGTGAACTGTGGAGAGCTGTAGTCCACCAACCACAAATAGTCTATTTGTATTACTGACAGAATAAAACATTGCAAATTTACTTTTCTTTTCATTTTACTGAGAATGTAATCTGGCTAAATGACTTCTGTAAAGCATAACTTCAGTATTAAAGTTATGACACTATAATTAAAATTATGTAAGTGTAACTGCTCTTCTGATAATGAAAGGGCTCTACCCTTTTTATACATAAACAAAATCTGAAAGCAGCAAGAGAATGAATGAATTTTTCCCCTTTCTGGACAAAGGATAAAAATACATAATTCAAAGAAAAAAAAAAAGATTTTAAAAATCATCGAATAAAACATTGCAAATTTACTTTTCTTTTCATTTTACTGAGAATGTAATCTGGCTAAATGACTTCTGTAAAGCATAACTTCAGTATTAAAGCTATGACACTATAATTAAAATTATGTAAGTGTAACTGCTCTTCTGATAATGAAAGGGCTCTACCCTTTTTATATATAAACAAAATCTGAAAGCAGCAAGAGAATGAATGAATTTTTCCCCTTTCTGGACAAAGGATAAAAATACATAATTCAAAGAAAAAAAAATGATTTTAAAATCATTGAAATCCTGGGGAAAAACAAGTATTTTCCATAGAATAAGAATTAGAAGTGGAAATCAATGTAGTGTAGTTTGATAAAATTCAGAAAAATATGAGAAAAAAAGGAAATACGAAAGCTACACTGTTTACACTATGTTGTCAATGTGTTTTTAGTTTATGATTTATATTTTCTGATCACCAATGAAAAGCTAAGCATCAACAGTGTAAAGCTTATAGCTACTAATTAGAGATTCTTTCCCCTTTCTGGACAAAGGATAAAAATACATTAATTCAAAGAAAAAAAAAATGATTTAAAATCATCGAAATCCTGGGGATAAACTAAGTGTTTTCCATAGAAATAAGAATTAGAAGTGGAAATCAATGTAGTGTAGTTTGATAAAATTCAGAAAAATATGAGAAAAAAAGGAAATACGAAAGCTGCACTGTTTACACTATGTTGTCAATGTGTTTTTAGTTTATGATTTATATTTTCTGATCACCAATGAAACTGGAAATAACAGATTGAAACCCAGATGTAACTTTTCATTTCCCCAAAACAAGCTAGGATTACTTGTGGAAAATAAATAAACAATCGAGAGTATTTGAATGACATTTCCTTATAAATAATAATAATAATAATAATGATAATAATAATAATAATATTAATAATAATAATAATAATAATAATAATAATAATAATAATAATAATAATAATAATAATAATAATGCAAGTGAAAATGTATGAACAAGGAATAAAGATATATATACCCCTCTCCCTTATCCAGCAAAAGTACACATACTCTCTTTCCCCTCCATTCATTAAAAGTACACACAGCACACTCCCTCCCTCTTTGAAAGCAAAGTACACATACAACCCATCCCTCTGTATACCCCTAAGCTGATGGGCCACACCTATTGGCATCATAACAAACTGCTCAGTCTGCGGGGTACGACTGTACGCCGCAACAAAGTGCCAGAGCACCTGGAGTGGGGTGTTCGGCTTGATGTACCGGACTCCAGTGCCCAATGTCTGCTCGTTGCCACTAAGCTCCAGAGCTTACAATTTTTACTTATTTTCTTCACCTGTCAGCATTGGGTAAAATATACTTCCTTAAAACCATCAAAGTAGATTTGTATTCTCCTTCCTGTTACCAAGCAAAGTACATATACACTCCCCTCCTCCTTACCAAGCAAAGATCACACATACCCTCTCAATCTTACCCTCTTCTTCCCTCCTATCGCCCTCCTCTCCTGCCTCTAAGTTCAGGGTGTCCCTTGGCATTCCCACCACGTATCATTTGCAACAAAAATACACATATGCCCCCCTGGCCTTTATCTGACTAAAGTATATATATATCCATGTCCCCCCCATATTCAGCAAAAGTATACATATAACCCTCTTCCTCCTTCCCCAGCAAAATTCACATTCATCCACCCTCCCCCTCATTAAGTAAAAGTATACAAATACCCCCTCCCTCTTCCTGAGACAAGTACACATTTATCCCCACTCACCCTTACACAAATCACACACACACACTCTCCTCCCCCTTACACAAAGTATGTGTCTAACTTTCAATATATCTCTAACAAGTCGTAGAAGTATAATAAACTTACAAGCATCACAATGCACAAGCAAAGAAAAGCATTTACCTGATCTCTTTTTGCGGCCAAGCAGCTCAATACTCGTCTTGACAGTATTAATCAACTCACTCAGGTACTTGATGTGAAGACTGGATGACAAATAGCCAGGGAGGAAATCCTGAAAGAAAAGATTATGCAAAACATACCTGAATCAACAGCGTAAAATCACTAGAGGCCATGAATAAGAAATTTGGTTACTGAAAGTATTGAGGATTTTTCAGGATACCAAAGTCCTGTTGTGATAAAGGTCTTGGAGACTTTTCAGGGTATTAATGTTTAAGCTCTGTTATCATTATTTTAGATTATCAAAGAAGCACTTCATGCACATATGCATTATGATGGAAATACTTCCCTGGTATTTATTCTTACCCAGTTCATAAAACAGAGAAAATTCTAATACTTTACATAATGAAAAGTTTACTATTTCAAGAAAAAAAAAAAAGCTTAACTTAAATCTTACTATAAAATACAGTTCATGAAAAGAGGCACCATTTTTTCTACATACAAACAAAAATAGTAACTATGAAATGCAAATACTAAGACAATGTTTTTTGCATGAAAATGCTTTAAATGATGAAATGTAAAACAGGAATAAGAATAAACATATCTGATCGACCATTTTTAACAAATTACAACTCTAGATATCCTTACATTTGAACAAAACCAAATTTCTTATAAGTCGGCCTAAAATGAAACAACAGGAAGACCAACACAGAAGACAATAAGAATACTACTTCCAAAACCTAACTACACTGAAGAACAAATACAAATTTCATTATGATACCAAACACACACACACAAATAAACAGCGAGCGCCCTCCCAGAAGTAAACAAACAACCAAATGACAATAGTGACAATAACAATAATCAAACCAAAATAACATATTACCCTTTCTAGAACATGCAGAACCACTCTGAGAGGCAAATTAAAACAGGATGGCAGGGGTCCCTCCTCACGGCAGATATTGCTTTCAACTTCAAATCTTACTCGGTCACTGAATCCTTGCGGACAGGTTGCTTGCAGAGAAAAGTACCTGCGAGGGTGGGGACAAAACACTTCAGAAATATTTATTACGACATTTTTTTATCTAACACCTCAAATTTGTTTATGGAGAGCTGTCAGGACTAGCAGGGTGATAAGATAGGATTAGGTAAATTTACATCACTGGTTATCTTTAAGCAACTTTTGGCCACATACAGCTAAGTCAAGGACCTTTTTTTATTACATTTATAGCTAAAAAGCACACGATACAAAGTTGTTTCAATTGCAATAATTCAATTGCAATCTCTGTAACAGAACTTGGTCAGCATATACAAAATAATCTATAGTCTATTTATTTTCTCTCACTTGTTCTTGCTTCTGAAAATTACAATTTTGGTGAACTGTTCTGAACAGATATCACTTTTTGTCAGATCATTAAAATATAAGAAGCATTCATCTCTCTAAGCACATTTCATCACAGATTATAATATTTATATATTGAACTAATAGTATTCATAAACTCATTTTCACATATTTTAGTAATTAACTGATGTACACTGATCTCTTGGGGTTCTTCATTTACATAAAGTAATTAATTATTTTTCAGATATCAAGACAGTGAAATGAAACTAAATATTTTGAGGTAAGTAATACAAACACTTCACAAAGGATGCAAACCATTAATTTTTCTCCAACAAAAGGGCCACACTTATGTACCTAAACAGCCAAGTCTACCTGACTGAGAGGTCATGAATAAAAAACTAATACAGAAAAAATAAATAAGTAACAGACATACAAAGGATTTTTTCCCCCCCATTCGTCTCTATCTCCTTGCTTTTACTCACTTGTCATACAGGACCATGGCATCTGCCTGTGCTTGCTGAGGATCGTACATGCCAGCGTGCTCAATCAGCTGCTGACGGAAATTTGAAGCTGCCACCCACAATTGCAGCATTTGCCTTCCTCCTTCCTGCTCCACATACTGCAATAAGAAAACAGCACTGGTTATTGCTAAACTGCCAGTCTTAAAATCAATAGCATTAAAAAATGGACTGAAAAAGTATCTACACAAAAGGAAAATTGTTTTAGATATCAGCACAAACACTATACTGTACACAACTAATATACATCATACATCGATGTTATTTCCTATTCACCTTAAAAATGAAAACTTTTTCTTTGAATGTATAAAGAAATACAGTAAGTATAACATCTGGTACTCTGTTCTGCTACAGGCCATTGCTACACTTACCTCCATGAAGTAAGGAAATGCTGAATCACTATACAGAATATCTGCCAAACGCACAGAGCCGCTGGTGAGAACGTCTATTTGGTGTTTGAGGTAGTAGTCACTTGCAAGAAACTTTGGGAGGTATCTGGAAAAATAAATAAATAAATAAATAAAATGATTATAATAAAAAGCATTCTCAAAGGTCATTTTATTTCTGGCCTTCCTGTTCCCTCCTTTTGCTATGACCCACTGGATATCTAGGAGGAACTCTTTAAAAAGACTTTGTTCAAAGAATAAAGGAGAAACAGCACATGATGACAAGATTTGAAGAAGAAGAAGAAGCAGAAGAAGAAGAAGAAGAACAACAACAACAACAACAACAACAACAACAACAAGAAACAAGAAGAAGAAGAAGAAGAAGAAGAAGAAGAAGAAGTAGAAGTAGAAGAAAAAAAGAAAAAAAAAAAAAGATTGATGTTATAGGCTTTCATCATTTACTATAAAGAATGATGCAGAATAGCTACTTTATATCTACCAAACTTCACACTATTTGTGTTACTTTAACCCAAAACTGACGGGCATGGCATGTATGTACATGCACCATGCCCACAGTGAGTTTATTTCATTAATTGTTCTTACACATAGATGGTTTCACAAGTACAAAGTCACTAGTGAGCCAAATACGAGTATACTACCTGTGTCAACTTTTCATTAATTCTCGAAAATATTTTATGTTATTCTATATTGCACTTACTAATGTCAATAACATTATAGTAATTATCATGACTGTAATAAATATAAAGCCATCGATATTGATAGCATTAGCAAAAAAAAAAAAACAGGTGATTATATTACTTTACATTAACCTGTGATCCTAAAATACTTAGAATAAGCAAAGAAAAAAAAAGAAAAGAAAAGATAAGTCATGGATAACAATTCACAAATGTCAAAATTCCTGATTCTACAGGTATCCCATATTAAAAAATAGAATTTTTATCACACAAATGGCCTTTTTTTCAAGAAATTTTATCTCTGTATTTTGAATTTCTACACTATCAGGGCAAGTGACAAAGTCCTTATACTAAACAAACAGAAATAGAATATCAATACTCACTCTCTTTCTAGGACACCAAACACTATTTTCTGTGCTGGAACAAAGCACTCAGAATCAATGTCTTCCTGAACTACGGAGATCTTTTGTAGGATATCCTCTCTAATGTCATCATCTAGACCGATAGACTGTTCTGCATCCCTTGCTATGTACTTGTTGAAAATCTTCATGGCATCCTCTGCTATGCTTTGTCTGAGTTTCTGAGCCCTTGAACATACTGAGGCACTTGGGCTTGAAAAACCTCTTGTATCTTTTAAATGAGGTTTTGGTGTAATAACACTTTCACTTCCGACTGGCTTTGTATTGCTTTCTTTAACACTATCCACATGATTGGGTAATATCACACACTTCTCATCACTAGTTTTCGGGTTCCCTTCAGAAGTCCGAGCATCACAGTTCAGCACCTTGCTAAAGCTCCCATCAGGGCTATTAAGAGGAGTAACATCATTAGCATGCTTAATATTACTTACTAAATCAGGTAAGACCAATCCTTTATCTCTTGATTGCATTCCTTCCTTTGGGCCAAAGCTTTCTGTCCTTGAATTTGAGCATGACTGAGTAGTGTAATTCTCAAATATTTCATCAACGGTCTGTTTTTGCTTGTTTTCCGGTTCTGTACAATTACTATCACTATAATCTATATAAGATCTATCGCTAGTTGTGGAAGTTGCTATGTCGGATGTTATATGCACATCCTGGCTTCGTATGCGAGTCACAGCTGCAGCTCTGAAGCTAGTAGCATCCAGCCAAAACCTTGCATACTTCTCAGCACCCCAACCTTGCAAAAACTGCAAGAAGTACGGCAGAGTGGAGTGGCTATCGAGGATATCTTCAACAGTCTTTACAAACTGTGATTGTATTTGCAATGGATCCACCTTTTTGTCCCCTGAAAAAATTAAAAGAAATTTTGTAATAATCTTTCATGCTTAAAAAATTCAGATACCTAATAATTGTGTACTTTCTATTCTCTCAAATACTTGGTCATCCTATTTGGCTAGTTTCTTCTCACCACTGCAGCTACAAAAAACAGGATAAAAATTAATTGTAACATTTAATACACATAGTCACTGATATATAATTCCTCTCTTAAAGAAACTATTACAAAATCCTTGAATCTAAGAAAGCTGCAATTCACTAAAGACTAATTTCTGCAGCAATTAACTGCCCAGTTCAAACACTGCATAGCAAATACTTTTGGGAGTGATTAAGCTATGAAAAGTATAAATTACCTAAATATATCTTCTGTAAAAATGTGTTGATGAATATTGATATTTTCATTATAACGCCTGCCGACATGACATAAAATGTATCGACTTTTACACAAACTTTGACACGCGTAACAAAATGATACAAACATATTGTGATACATACACACACATGCACAAGACACGAGCCACTCACCTGACTCAGACATGAACAGGTCTTCATCAGAACGTGTAATGAAGCGCAAGTTACTAGACGGTGCCTGCTGTAAGGGTGGCGATGAGGTCACTTCAGCACCCTGGCATACTTCAGCTCCCCCCTGATAGGAAGAACTGCTAGCAGCCGCTCCATGGCCCGTGTGGTTCGGGCTCCCTCCCCCAGACCCACCTCCTGTGAAGAATATGGACATTATGCTCTTAATGTACAGGTTTTGATTCCTTAAAAATATACAGTAAGTCCCCAACTTAAGAACATAATGGGGACCGAGAGGTGTTTGTAAGTTGATTTGTTTGAATGTCGAAAGTCGGGTCTCCATTACCTTTTTTCCCATTGTTTTAAAGTTTTGTTTACATTAAGAATACTTGTAAATAAATCCCAATAAATACGACATACCTTATACAGTACCAGACTCTTGACCTATATTCGTGCCCGGGAAATTTGAAGTTTGGACTTTAGTACTTAAAAAATTTTGTTTGTATGTATGGAATGTTCATAAGTAGAATGTTCTTAAGTAGGGGACTATCTGTATGCTAAAGTATAGAGTCAAATCTGAAAATATATTTGGACAAACTTATTCAGGTGGAGGAGGAGGAGGAGGAGGAGGAGGAGGAGGAGGAGAAATAGGAATACGAGGAGGAGGAGGAATAGGAGGAGGAGGAGGAGAAATAGGAGGAGGAGGAGGAGGAGGAGAAATAGGAAGGGGAGGAGAAGAAGAAATAGGAGGAGGAGGAGGAGGAGGAGGAGGAGGAGGAGGAGGAGGAGGAGGAGGAGGAGGAGGAGGAGGAGGAGGAGGAGGAGGAGGAGGAGGAGGAAGGGGAGGAGGAGGGGGAGGAGGAGGAGGAGGGGGAGGAGGAGGGGGAGGAGGAGGGGGAGGAGGAGGGGGAGGAGGAGGGGGAGGAGGAGGAGGAGGAGGAGGAGGAGGAGGAGGAGGAGGAGGAGGAGGAGGAGGAGGAAATAGGAGGAGGAGGAGAAGAAGAAATAGGAGGAGGAGGAGGAGAAGAAGAAATAGGAGGAGGAGGAGAGGAGGAGGAGGAGGAGGAGAAGAAGAAATAGGAGGAGGAGGAGAAATAGGAGGAGGAGGAGGAGGAGAAGAAGAAATAGGAGGAGGAGGAGGAGGAGGAGGAGAGGAGGAGGAGGAGAAGAAATAGGAGGAGGAGGAGAAGAAGAAATAGGAGGAGGAGGAGAAGAAGAAATAGGAGGAGGAGGAGAAATAGGAGGAGGAGGAGGAGGAGGAGGAGGAGAAATAGGAGGAGGAGGAGAAGTAGGAGGAGGAGGAGGAATAGGAGGAGGAGGAGAAGAAGAAATAGGAGGAGGAGGAGAAATAGGAGGAGGAGGAGGAGAAGAAGAAATAGGAGGAGGAGGAGAAGAAGAAATAGGAGGAGGAGGAGAAGAAATAGGAGGAGGAGGAGAAGAAGAAATAGGAGGAGGAGGAGAAATAGGAGGAGGAGGAGGAGGAGGAGGAGGAGGAGGAGAAAAAGATTAAAAAGAATAAAAAGACGAAAAAGAAGAAAAGGATGAAGCAGAGGGATAGGAGGATAGAGTAAAAGATAGAGGAGGAAAATGAGGAAATGAAGGAAAAACAAAAGGAGGAAAAGGAGGAGGAGAATGAGAGAAAGAAGGGAAGAAATTGAAAAAAAAAAGAAAAAGAAGAGATGGAGATTTCTGTTAACTTAGTAGCTGATTGACAAAGGAAAAAATGATTCCCATAAACGGAGGTCATTTGGGAAATGTAGAAAATAAATAAGAATGAATAATTAGCAACAAGACATGCACTTAACATTTTGACATCAGAATTATAAATTTTGATGAATATATAATATCAAAATGTAATTAATGTAAAGGCCAAGCCATCTCCACTGATCATATAGGTCAGCTGAGTCACCTCAATAAAACATCAGCTTTTAAAAAGTGTCCCACCCTTATTTCAGTGTGAATGGGAAATACTACATTTAAATCAGTAGAGCTAGAACTATCTCACATCTTTCCTCCCTCCCTCCCTCCCTCCCTCCCCTTCCCTCTACCTTCTTTTATTCCACTGGGTCTTCTCCTCATGTCTCCTGCCTCTTTTCCCACCTAATCCTCCCACTCTACCCCTATAAAAACGTCAGAGACTCTTTCACTAACTTTCCTATCCCCTTTGCCTACTTCCCATTAGATCCTCCTCTCTTTCACTACCTTCAAGTCATATTTTTCTTTTTGTATTTTATATTTACATGTACATATACATAATATGATTTACTGCTATACAATGATAAAGATCTTATGTTTTATTGCCTGATGTAGATCTATTCATACGTATTTTGTAAGTTTCACCAGTCTTGCATAAAGGGCAAATGTTTCACTATTCAGTAACAATTAGACATAACACCAGAAGACAAACAGTCCCTCATGTATAAAACTGAACTCTTCAAATAAAGAAAAACTAAATTTGCTCCTAGGAAATGTTTCAAATTCAAGGTTACTGACATATGGGCTAAGGTATTGTGGGTCTGTAGGGGTTATCTTAGCAATGTTAGCATGTTTATCTTTTCTACTGTAGATATCCTTTCATCTGTACAAAACTCCATGAGACTGCAACCTACTTACAGCAATAGGTATTTTTTTTATCATTTTGAAACCTACAGGCAAAGTACTCATGTTTTCTACTATCTGTGGTCATGAGGAAAAATTATTGTGATACTAATGGAAAACGGGGAAAAAGACTTGGGTATTTCTGCAGAAAGGGTCTACATTGCCAGTACTTACACTTTAGATATTAATAGACTGCTTGTTATAGTGTGTATTTATAGTAGTTTTAGTCCATAAAAATTATCTATAGATACAATATTGGCTTCATTAGCGAATGATGATAAATAACAGGGTAAACATTTACAGAACAAACAATAGAAAACCATATCAAAGATAAATTACACTAATATCACTCAAATAAAGTTAGAACTCAGATGGTTTCTTAGAGAAGTTTACAAGCCCTATCTTGCCAAAATATATGTGGTGAAGGTTTGTTGGCTTTTCTTAAGTACTAACATAAATGGAGACTGTGATGATAACTGACACTGTGCCATTCTAATCACTGCCATTATTGTCCCTATAAATGGTGTCCATAGACTAAAAGAACTATATCTGCTCAGTGTACATAACAAAAAAATACATCATTACAAAAACTATCAGTTTTAGTGGACCTTTCCTGCATTAATACCAAGCTTTAGGATAAGGCAATAACAGCCATATGGGGTGAAAAACAGTGAGGGAATGAAGGTGGGACATTAAGTATGGGTGAGGTGGAGGGGGAGTGAATAAGCAATTATTTTATAGGGCTGTGCAATGACCACATGATATGTTTCAATCTATCCAATGCTCTGCTCTAAATACATTCATACCATAAAAAAAAACTTTTATTTCCTCCACTAATACTGCCTATTCTACCAAATTAATATAAAAGGAGCATTCTGTGAGCTTTATAATGACCACTGTAATGGTATAACAATCATATGAACCAGATATGCCATGCAAATATCTGGCATCTGGCAGATTATCAGAGAAAATTTTGTATTTACACATAGATGGCTCTACAAATTCTTAATCACCAAATAGCCAGTTATCAGAACTACCTATCTCAAGAAACTCAAGAAATATTACCACTGAAGCCTTGGACTGACATTGCAGTCTTATTTTATTCATTTCTTTTACATGCAGAGAGCTTCAGAAGTCCTCCTTCCCTAAGCTTTTAAATACAAGCCTAACCTGATCTCACTTGTTTATGCCATGCCCTTAATTATTAGGATTTTCATCTCTTTTACTATTATAATCATTATTAATATCAATAATTCTTTACAGTACACACAAACTCAAGTCCCCAACTCCATGTCACAATGAGGGGAGGGTTGATGGAGGATCCAGGGAAATACTGTCTTCATCGTGGTATGCTTGGCAAGATAGAGATGAAACTTGGGAGCACTGAGTAGACATAGGCTGCAAGCGGCAGTTTCCGTCATATTTTTTCTTTATTTGTGGCATTACCATTGGTGTCTACAGATTAATTTCCCATACCAGTGACTTCAACCTTTTGTCCTCTACAAGAATATCATCTTCAATTTGCCCGAGCTTAGTGCATCCATCCCATAAAGATTAAGCTTAATGTTATTATTGTTATTACTATCAGTATTATCATTTTTATCTTTATCATGACTATTCCTACTTCAATTTTCTTCTTATTCTTCTTATCATTATCATTATTCTTATCATTTTTATTATCATTATCATTATTCTTATCATTTTTATTATCATTATCATTATTCTTATCATTGTTATTATCATTATCATTATTCTTATCATTTTTATTATCATTATCATTATTCTTATCATTGTTATTATCATTATCATTATTCTTATCATTTTTATTATCATTATCATTATCCTTATTTTTATTATCATTATCATTATTATCATCATTATCATTATCATTATAATCATCATTAACATTATGATGATTATTATCAGTAGTAGTATCCTTATCCTTATCATTATTATTATTACTATTATTATTATTATCATTATTATTATTACAATCATTATTATTATTATTATTACTATCATTATTATCATTATTATTATTACTACCATTATTATAATCACTATCATTATTATCATTACTCTCATTATTATTATCATAACTCATTATTATTATTACTATCATTATTATTATAACTCTCATTATTATCATTACTATCATTATCATTTTCATTGTCATTACTATTACTATCATAACTATCACCATCATCATCATCATCATTATCATTATTAACCCATTCGCCCCAGATTTATGTTCTGTCCCCTGTAGTTTTTGGTGAATTTTGTTACATACAGATGGCTCCACATGTACTCAGCTGGCAAGGAGTCTATCAGTAGGCCCTAGTTACCGATCCTGATTCCTTGTATTGGCGGGAAAATGTGTTTTTCTTGTTAATGCCATTGCTATCGATACTGTTATCATTGTTATTAATGTTATGATTATTAAAATTGCCATTAAAATATTTTAGACAATGAAATGATACAAAAGACCCTTTCCTAAAGTGAAGGAAAAGGGTAAACAGGTGAGATAGGTAGTTCTGATAACTGGCTATTTGATGATTAAGAACTTGTAGAACCATCTATGTGTAAATACAATAAATAAACGTGTATTACAGTATTACAGGCATGTATTCTTGCCACATGGAGCAAATGGGTTAATACTAATATCATTACAATTATGATCATTAAATATTACTATGAGTATTATCATCATCATCATTTCATAAAATTAACTTAATACTATAAATTAATACTAATATCATTACAATTATGATCATTATAAATTAATACTAATATCATTACAATTATGATCATTATAAATTAATACTAATATCATTACAATTATGATCATTATAAATTAATACTAATATCATTACAATTATGATCATTATAAATTAATACTAATATCATTACAATTATGATCATTATAAATTAATACTAATATCATTACAATTATGATCATTATAAATTAATACTAATATCATTACAATTATGATCATTATAAATTAATACTAATATCATTACAATTATGATCATTATAAATTAATACTAATATCATTACAATTATGATCATTATAAATTAATACTAATATCATTACAATTATGATCATTATAAATTAATACTAATATCATTACAATTATGATCATTATAAATTAATACTAATATCATTACAATTATGATCATTATAAATTAATACTAATATCATTACAATTATGATCATTATAAATTAATACTAATATCATTACAATTATGATCATTATAAATTAATACTAATATCATTACAATTATGATCATTATAAATTAATACTAATATCATTACAATTATGATCATTATAAATTAATACTAATATCATTACAATTATGATCATTATAAATTAATACTAATATCATTACAATTATGATCATTATAAATTAATACTAATATCATTACAATTATGATCATTATAAATTAATACTAATATCATTACAATTATGATCATTATAAATTAATACTAATATCATTACAATTATGATCATTATAAATTAATACTAATATCATTACAATTATGATCATTATAAATTAATACTAATATCATTACAATTATGATCATTATAAATTAATACTAATATCATTACAATTATGATCATTATAAATTAATACTAATATCATTACAATTATGATCATTATAAATTAATACTAATATCATTACAATTATGATCATTATAAATTAATACTAATATCATTACAATTATGATCATTATAAATTAATACTAATATCATTACAATTATGATCATTATAAATTAATACTAATATCATTACAATTATGATCATTATAAATTAATACTAATATCATTACAATTATGATCATTATAAATTAATACTAATATCATTACAATTATGATCATTATAAATTAATACTAATATCATTACAATTATGATCATTATAAATTAATACTAATATCATTACAATTATGATCATTATAAATTAATACTAATATCATTACAATTATGATCATTATAAATTAATACTAATATCATTACAATTATGATCATTATAAATTAATACTAATATCATTACAATTATGATCATTATAAATTAATACTAATATCATTACAATTATGATCATTATAAATTAATACTAATATCATTACAATTATGATCATTATAAATTAATACTAATATCATTACAATTATGATCATTATAAATTAATACTAATATCATTACAATTATGATCATTATAAATTAATACTAATATCATTACAATTATGATCATTATAAATTAATACTAATATCATTACAATTATGATCATTATAAATTAATACTAATATCATTACAATTATGATCATTATAAATTAATACTAATATCATTACAATTATGATCATTATAAATTAATACTAATATCATTACAATTATGATCATTATAAATTAATACTAATATCATTACAATTATGATCATTATAAATTAATACTAATATCATTACAATTATGATCATTATAAATTAATACTAATATCATTACAATTATGATCATTATAAATTAATACTAATATCATTACAATTATGATCATTATAAATTAATACTAATATCATTACAATTATGATCATTATAAATTAATACTAATATGTATGTGCAGTGAGAAATGTTTCTCATAAAGCCTCTACCTCATATGGGTTGTGATTTCACTTATGAGGCATGTTATTCAGGTCTGTCTGAGCTCTACCTTGCCAGTCAGATATGGCTGGGATTTTGCATTCTGGGTGGGAGGTTGGAAAGTTGGCAAAAATACATTAATAATGTATGATCTAACCCTGCCATTTCCTGAGGATACTTCATGCTTACCCCTTACAGGGCACTTATCTTAGAAAAATAATAATTTGGACAATATCCTGCAGCTGAATGGTTGTATCTTAATATGCATGCAAAAATTTACAATGTAAGAAAAAAAAATTAAATATAACTGTATCTCTGGACCACACATCCTATATTTGATGCAATAATATAGTGGCATAAACGAACTGGCTCAAGACACTCAATTTCACAAAACTTTGCAGCCTTGTCCTCCCTCTGACAATCTACTGTATGAAGGTATGTATTAATTACACGTGAAACATTAAACATTTTCTTCTTTTTGCGCCGGGTATTTCTTACATATCTAAGTAACTACCACTGCAAAGTAATATATGTAGATGGAGTCATTTTGTAGTATCTACAGTAGTGTTAGACCTCTTCTTAACATATTAATCAAAGTAAACTAAAGGTAAGGAAGTTGTCTTTGTGGGAAATTTTAGGCAAAAAGTTCCTCATTCACAGAAAAGCCAAGGGGGTGGGGATCCCGGGATGAAATACTATGAATGCTGAATATTCTGCTGCTATGACTAATTACAGCGAGCGAATTGCAATGCCGCGCAACCAAAGCCACGAATGATAATTTAACCCCAAAAAGTACCTATGATCTGATACCGTTATCGTTTAACATCAAATAAACATAATAATAATAAATTTCCCGACCCAAAGTCTTTCCCTTTTAAACCCGACATTAGTATCCTTCTCCTTCTTCGACTGCTTCACGACATCCTTTTTTAACTCATGGCTGAACTTACGAAACTTCTTCCAGAGGGACGACATTTCGGGGAAACTGTCATAGACATTTCATATCTATTTTCCGCGTTTCCTGTCCTCCTTCTACTCCAGCTGACCGAGAGAACAACAAATAGCAGTCAATAAGGGACGGGAACTCGGCCGTCTTCAAAAGGGATTCGGGAACCCCTTTGGATTCCTAAAGCCTTTCGATCCTATACTTCAGATCTTCTCTTTCTCTTTCTTATCTGTAGACTAATCTTTGAGTGCTTATACTTGCGAATGATACCATTTTCGTCGTGGAAAAATATAATCGAGGATATAGATAACAGTGTATCGTGTCTGTATGCATAAAAGTAAGGAAGAGAAGATATGAGATCATGATTTCCCGAGAGAGATATGAGGTCACGTCGTTTTCTAATTTCGTGGGTCACTCGGCCATTCCCATTTTCTTTCGCGTGACATATAGAAAACGGAAGGCTGCAGATGCACCTTTGTTATCAATCAGCATTTTTATATTTACGCACATCGATTTCAAGACCCACAAGAGTAAGGGTAAAGATAAGTGAGGACCGACAGAGCTCAGGCGAGCAAGTAAAGTAGGCGGCGAACGGACAGCTTGAAGAGTGGTGTGTGACAAGAAGAAGTCATGACGTCACGAAGGGTGTTTGTTTTCCATTTTTAGCTGCGGTCGAGGCCTCGTCGCCCCTCTATTTACTCCGCTTTCCTCGCTTGCAATGCCCGCCCCCTGTTCCCTCTCAGCCTAGAACACACTTCCAACCCCTCCGGCAGAAGAGGTGAGTCGAAACCCGCCCCAGGAGTGGCGAAAAGTGCGACATTTAAGCGCGAAAAGTTCAGATGCAGGAGAGAGAGGGCGAGGAGGGCGACGCCTCGACTCTCGCCACTTCCTCGGCCTCTCATTCTCGGAAGTTGACTCACGCTCGGGATTGTAACTCGGCATCCCGTCGTCGTCACGGGGGAGTGCGGTGAGTCAGGCCCGACGAGAAGGAGCGCAGGAGAGGCTCCCGAGGACTTTAAAGTGCGGGGAAGGGATATTCGCGAGTCGTGGGCGTGTTTCGAGTCGTGTGGGAGTGAACGAGTGTGGGCGAAAGACCTCCGCTCCTCCTCGCCTTCTGCTCCTCCTCCACTCCTCCTGCTGGGCTGCTCGGGTAAGAGGCGCGCGGAGGACTCCCCTCGCACGTGCTTTTGTCTCCGCCAGATTCCCGCAGACACTGAGCCGAGGGTGAGGATCCTGTTGGGGATGTTGGAGGGCCCGAGGTGGGAATGACGAGGGAGTGCCAGTGCCCCGGGATCGGCGGCAGTG